GCAATTTCGTTGCCGAACCTTCCAGGTGTCAACACAGCCTTAGACTCTCCAAGTAGGATCTGGGGTTGCAATCCAGAAGCCAGATGGTGATTTTTTTGACAGGAGAGGCCTTCTTACTAGCAGGCCTCCTTCCTGTGCAAGGAGAGACTGGTCAAAGACTGGAGTGGCAATTCAGTCTTCTCTCCAGTGGTGTCGACCTAAACAGCAAGTTTTCTTTGCCTTATCACTGATTCATACAGTTTGTAAAATTCACTTAGTCAGCATGACGGCACCTCACTTTGTGGTCTTTGGACACATCTGGCACAAGCCCTGCCTTGCAGCCATGCAACTTGGTCCAGTGACGTTTGAATTTGGTCACTGTTAAAACCAGCACATTTTTAAATCCTGACACCTCAACTGACTAAAAAAGTTTTCTTTGCCTTATCACTGATTCATACAGTTTGTAAAATTCACTTAGTCAGCATGACGGCACCTCACTTTGTGGTCTTTGGACACATCTGGCACAAGCCCTGCCTTGCAGCCATGCAACTTGGTCCAGTGACGTTTGAATTTGGTCACTGTTAAAACCAGCACATTTTTAAATCCTGACACCTCAACTGACTAAAAACCAAAGCTCAAAAGCTTGTCTTTTTCACCAAAAGAAATCGATCCAATAAATGATATTACCTTGCCCACCTTGCCTCTCTAAAAAAGCTGCCCTAGCTGCATCTGAGCAAGAAAGGGTCTTGAGCTGGCATTGCATCACCATTTTACTGAAAGTTCAATGTACAAATCCTATTAAAAATAGCTAATTGGGGGAAAAACAGAAAGAAACCTAGACCCCTAGCAACAAGCAGTCATTCAATATTCATCCTTCAGCAAAATTAAAAACAAGTGCAATCTTATGATTAGTTTCATCATTTTTGGTTTCTTGTTTCCTTTTTTGTGCTTTCCTGTTCTGAAAGTAGGTTATATCAGACAGCGTATTGTTTGGAATCTACATTTTGACAGCAAAACGGTACTGTACTTTAAATCTTATCAAGACGATTCCCATGTGACACATACAACTTTATATAAGGTCTTTATTCCAATATTAGATCTGCTACCCAGTATAAGCATGGAATCCAGGCTCTGTCAGACCCAGGGAAGTAAGAGAGAAGCTCAAGAGCTAAGAACTCTTCACTGCGCTAGATGTACCACCAGCTCCATCCTACTTAGCTAGCATAGACGGCTTGTAGTCGCTTTGCCTCCCTGTACGCCTGCCAACATTTCTGTTGTTAAATGGGGTGTCCACTCATGCCCCCTCCCTGTTCCTCTGAGTGGCCCTCCCTGCACCCCCTGCCCCTGCAGACACCCGTCATCCATGTTAGCTGGGATGGTATGAACATAAATGTCATACAGTTCCCCGCCAAGATGCAGTATTTGTTTTGTCAAAACCATCCCAGAGAGATGGCTATTCAGTCTCCTTTGGAAAACCCCAGTGAAGAAGTTCCCACAACGTTCCAGGGCCATGTGTTCCTTTGTCCTGCTGTTCTGACAGAGAATTTTCATGACTTATACGGGGTCACAGCTTGGGTGAGTCTACACTGCACCGTTATTTCGCGATAACTAGTGTTATTCCAAAATAGCAATGTGAGTATCTACACAGCCATTCCGTTATTTCAAAATAATTTCGAAATAACAGATGGCTTATTCCAAAATCTGTAAACCTCATTCTTTGAGGAATAACATCTACAGGCAGTCCCCGAGTTACGCGGATCCGACTTATGTCGGATCCGCAGTTACGAACGGGGTTCCTCTCCCTGGTCTCCAGCAGACCAGGGAGAGGAAGCAAAGCGGCGGAACACGTGGGCAGCGGACAGGGCTGTCCGCTGCCCACGCGCTCTGAGGCTTGGCTCTGCTTGGCTCTGCTTTGCCCCCCCTCCCCCTCCCGTCCCCCTGGTCTGCAGACCGGGGGGGGGCAAAGAGGAACCCAAACGCGGAGGC